GAAATATAGGAATTATAGGAGCTCTGGGAGCCATGTAATATTTGGTGATGAGGATGACGATGATGATGATGATGATGATGATGATGATGATGGTGATGTCAACATAGCGTGCGTGAGTACATACAGAATCATGAACGCACGTACGCACGCACGCACGCACGCACGCACGCACGCACGCGCACACACAATACGTGACAATCTCAACTTGTCAGGCTCGTCCCACAATCATCGTTGCTGTTGTCGTTGTTTTTTGACAGGTGATAGGATGTGGTTCCATCGCGCAGGTGGTGCTCAGCAAAGAGACAGCTGGTGGCTTCCTCACTGTTAACTTTGGATGGTGGCTCGGTGTCATGTTAGGAGTCTACGTATGCGGGGGCGTATCCGGTAAGCTGGCGCCGTCTAGCGTGTTGTAGCTGAACCACACAGGCTGTCTCTCGGTCTCTGGGTCTATACCTTCATTGCTATATATATATATATCTATCTTTTCTTTATCTATCTTCTCTCTATCTTGCTCTCTCGCTCTCCCAGCGCGTCTCTCTTTCTTTCTTTACTTATCCGTCCATATCCTTCTCTCTCTCTCTCTCCTCCTCCTCTCTCCCCCTTTCTCTATTTCTCTCTTTCTCTGTCTCTCCCTCCAGTGCGCTCTCTCGCTCGTCTGTCTGTTTGTTTGTCTGTCTATCTCTCTCTCTCTCTTTCCCTCTCTGTATCTCTGTCTCTCGCTTTCCCTCTCTCTCTCTCTCTCTCTCTCTCTCCCTTTCTTTCCCCCTCTCTATCTCTATCTCTGTCTCTCTCTTTTCCCCTCTCTATCGCTGTCTCTCTCTCTCTTTCCCTCTCTCTATCTCTGTCTCTCTCTTTCCCTCTCTATATCTCTCTCTCTTTCCCTCTCTTTATCTCTGTCTCTCTCTCTCTCTATATCTATCTCTATCTCTCTTGTTCTCTCTCTCTATCTCTGTCTCTTTCTTTCCCTCTCTTTATCTCTGTCTCTCTCTTTCCCTCTCTCTCTATCTCTGTCTCTCTCTCTTTCCCTCTCTCCATCTCTCTCTGTCTCTCTCTCTTTCTCCTTTCTTCCCTCCATTGCGCCTCTCTCTCTCCCTCTCTCCATCTCTGTCTCTCTCTCTTTCTCCTTTCTTCCCTCCATTGCGCCTCTCTCTCTCCCTCTCTCCATCTCTGTCTCTCTCTCTTTCTCCCTTCTTTCCTCCATCGCGCCTCTCTCTCTCCCTCTCTCCCTCTCTCCATCTCTGTCTCTCTCTCTCTTTTTTTCTCCCTTCTTTCTTCTTTCTTCCCTTTTCCGCGCCTCTCTCTCTCCCTCTCTTTTCACCACGGTGTCTTCAGTAATGCTGTTACTCTATAGTCTAAACCATCGTTATCGCTTGTCCAGGTGGACACATCAACCCAGCCATAACGCTGGCCATGGCAATATTGGGCAGGACGCCATGGCACAAGGTTTGCTTCTACTGGACGGGCCAGTACCTTGGTGCGATCACAGGCGCCGCCGTTGTCTACGGAGTCTACTTTGGTATTATCAACTTCTACTACTATTTGTCTTTAGATCGGAATATCTATATATGAGTTATAGATTTTTTTTTTTACACATAATAAGAGTTTGATAAGTTTTTATGAATAAGATTTAATGATATCGTGGCACGTTATTTACATAACGATAACGTATTTTTTTGCAATGTTTTCCAGATGCACTCAACGATTTCGATGGTGGTGTGCGGCAGATTGACGGAGCGCAAGGAACAGCCGGCATCTTTGGCACTTACCCAAAACCATTCCTCAGCTGGCAGTCTGGTTTTGGTGATCAGGTAATGGTCTGGTTGCGATTGAAGACGCACCCTGCTAAACGGGAATCACTCATACCGTGAAACTGCGTATATATCCCTATTCTGTTATATATATATATAATATATATATATATATACTATATATATATATATAATAATATATCAAGAGTACATAATTGGCGAGTTTATTGGGGGTCTCTGATTATGTACTCTTGATATATATATATATGATATATAGTATACTATATATATACTATAATATTATATATATATTTCATGCTCATATGTGATCGCTGTCTATCTGTCTACCCTTTTTTGCGTGCAGCGCGCGGTGCCATGCATTCATGTTGCCCCTGCAGACGTACTGGGTTTCAGCTCTGCGGTATGTATGTGGGAGTTGCTAGCTTGCTCAGT